GAAGATATGTTCAATACAAGAGAAACAGAAAAGTCGATAAAGTCAACTTTTTCGGACCTTGTATGTCCTTTCATCGGTGCGTAAAACAGACGTGTCCATGGGCGCTGCATAACTTATTTAGATAAGCAGAAATTCCCGTCACGAGACAATAATCAAGAAACATCCGTTAAGCACACTTATTTGAATATGTGCATCGAATACTTTGAGAAACTTCAGAGAAATAGTGTAAAAACTTAAAACTTTCCATACATTTTCCGTTGTCTGAATCCCGAACGAACACGCTTAAAACAACGGTTGACCCGAGGTAAAAGTTCTTAAGAAGGTCGTATCATCATACACCTAGAGAAAGTAAAATATCGTAACAATATCCGAGAAGTTGATGAAGTTAAACAGATCCTAGATGACCTTTCATTGGTGCGTAAAACATGATTGGAAAACGTTATGCTGTAGCATGGCGCAGTGAAGGATTACAAATATGTCGGCAGTTCCATCAAATAAAAGGAAAAAACCATGCCCGATTCATGCAGTAAATTAATTTCTAAAATGTTACACACAAACATTTTGACAAAGAAGTATTAAAAAAATACTTGACAAATACACGACAAAAAAAAAATAAGGAAATAAATCTATGCCCCATTCGGGCAGCACATGCTACATACATACATGCAAACATACAGATATAGGACTATTGTCATACAAAATAAAAAAAAAGAATCTCGCAAAATCCACAACAAATAAAAACTTTAAGCAAAAAAAAGCACCAAGGAAATCCATGTCCGATTCTGGCAGTACCCAAACATACATACATGCAAACATAAAGATATGGGCCTTTATCGTCCAAATTAAAAAAAAAAAAAATCTCTTAAAATTCACAACAAATAAAAACTTCAAACAAAAAAGGAGCAAGGAATTCCATGTCCGATTCTGTCAGTAAATGCAAACAAAGATATAGAAATATTACCAAATAAAATAAAAAATAAAAAATTAAAAATCGGCAAAAGAAAAATAAGGGCCGAAATACTAGGTCTGTAGTCGACGACACGCCGAGACAGACTGAGGGCAGCTACAAATTTGAACAGAGGCCCTTGAAACTGAAGCGGCGTTCGAAAATGCGATGTGGCAGTTCGAAATTACGAAGACGTACCCGAAAATTACTCGTGCTACGTGTCTCACAGACAGGGTTGCCATATGAAGCGAATACAGGCACTTTTTATGATGCAGTGGACATTTTGATAACAAAGTGTAACTTTATAAAATATATAATAATAATAATAATAGAGACTCGTTTCTTTAAGTTTGAATAACGTTTAGTGTATATAGTGAAAAATGGGAATGGTTTTGAATAATTTGCACTTGCACTTTTCTGTCATCTGTCATATTTTGTATTCTTTCCTAATGTGGCAACACTGTCGTGCATGACACGACTTCGTTTTTGCTCGGCTCTTTTTTGAGAGCTCTTCGTCTTATGCGAAAAATCGAACTTTGTTTCGTGCTCGGTACAGAACATTTCTTTCACTCGTGTGGCTCGCATTAATGTCGTGTAGATCTCCGAGTCGTGCGGCAATGCGCACAAATTGAACTTCTTGAAAGAGTTTTATAGATTTCTGAATTTTCATTTTAGTGCCGATGATAGCGCAAATTCCACTTGTAAAATATCAAGAAATCAATAATACTTATGTTTGAAAAAGTGAAAACGAGGAAAATCAAGCCTATATATACATGATAATTTCTAATAAACAATTCGCATTAATTGACTGGTAATTTTTTGCTTTATGCACTAAAATTTTGAACTAGTTTCCGATATGAAAAAATTCTAGAAAAAGACACTAGAAAAATCTGTAAAGATTTCTTCTTATTATATAATTTGTTTACTTAGCTTGGAAAACTGCGCTTCTAGCTGGAAGTCTAGGCTTACAAAATTATATCTGAACAGAACAAAATATGATTAATCTGATCAAATAAAAATGTATTCATAGGAATATAAACTCAAATAAATATTTGTTTGCGCACATCTTTACGATAAGCTCGTCTTTGTCTGTGAGAAATATTTATTCTCTCAATTAAAATAAAGCGTAAAGCAAATGAAATAATTAAAAATATTACAAAAATACCTTGACCAAAGGAACTTCCCGATCAGCTTGACTTTTTTTGTGGGAAATATTTATTTTCGCCAATAAATTCATTTTTCTGAATGTTCTTTCGATGCGAACACTTTGCCGCACAATCGACAAGAAATAGATAAAGCAAATTATGAAATTTTATTTAAGATAGAAATGGAAAAAAAGAAGTATTAATTGAATAACTCAACGATAAGACGGTAAGTCTGTGCGCACTATTTATAGTCGAATCTTGAAAGGTTTTAATAATAAAAATCCTCAAAGAGACAGGATAATTGGGAAGGGGCCTTAGAGTATTAATAGTTTCAGGTGGCCTCCACATGATATCTACCGGATACTAGTCGAGCGTATGATTCGGGCCTAGCCTTTAATTTGGTGGTCAACTCTTTGTTGCTGATCTTTGATACTGATCAAGCAGATATATATTCAGATCAAATCAGAAATGAAAGAACAATAATTAATACTCATTAAAATTGCAGTGCTTCCAGAATTCGAATACTGTTTTTAAATCTAACTGGCTGAACACGCTTCGCTTATCGATAATAATGTTATCGGACGAATCCATAAATGTCATTAAATAGATGTTAGTATTTTTGTGAAAAGCTTATTTATAAACGTAATTGCGCTATAAGCATACGGTCACACTGGCTGCGAGCCACAATCATTGGCTACCTCGATCAGCTGTGTTAACTGCAACGAACCGTATGCGATGAGTGCTGCCGGAAATGATGACGCTATTGAGATCCGTGTTGCGGCGGTGGACGATGGCAACCGATTGATGGAGTTTCTGCATGAGCATTATTACCGGGAGGAACCGCTTACCGCCGGCTGTGCACCGCCGGAGCCCGACGAGGCCGATGAGAAATTTCTGCTCTCCAATTTGCCGCATGGCACCTGCCTTCTAATGCTGCAACACGGCCGCATTGTAGCCGCTGCTGTGGCAGGTCCGAAAACTGCCGATGAGGCTGCTCATCTCTTCGCGGAGGCCGCCCACCTGGCCGGCAGCAAATGGGGTCGCATCTTGGGCATACTGGCGATTGCGGAGCGCGACGCCAACGTCTTCGCCCGGTTCAACGTGGACAGGGCTTTGCATGTGCACGCCATTGGCGTGGACGCTGCTCTGCGTGGTCGCGCTCTGGGCGAACGTCTCATGAATGCCCTGGCTGACCGGGGACGAGATCTGAACTATCCGCTGCTCACCGTCGACTGTACGAGCATCTACTCTGGACGCCTGATGAAACGCCTGGGCTACGAGTCGGTCAACAGAATGCCCTACACCGACTACGTGGATGTGGCGGGCCAGCAGCTCATTCGACCACCTGCTCCACACGAGTTCCTGGAGACCTTCGCGCTGCGCTTGTAGCTGTACGCATGTTGACCATGTGGCTAGCCTATATTAGATTAAGCCCTTATCTTAACCATGGGGAACTTATCAAATGGCAATTTATTAGACACTTAGGCATAATAAATCTATTAAATAATTGTTACCTTTTAAATACCTTTTGTTTATTTACTTGATTTGTGATTGAGACGAGGTGGAGAAGGCTATAAAATGAAGGATGCTGGGCAAATATATATACTATTCCAGAAGCCACATGGCAAGTTTGGCGACTCTAGCTCTTAAAACTTACGAGATTTACTCAAAAAACAGGATTTCGATAACGATTTTTATCGATTACTTGAAAACAAGGCAAGTTGTCGATTATCGGTAACATACCTGCACTTCCGAATTTCAATTCTATAGCTCTTATAGGTTCTGAGATCCTGAGAAGCTGAGAGACTCCTAAATGCCAAATTTGGTCAACCTATCTAAGAATCTTAGATATAGGCAGACGGATTAGGGCTACCTCACCATGTACTCTATAATACGAGGTCTATAGATTAGGCTGAAGCAGTTCATATATATAAGGAATATAATTTGCGGACCAAGATTAATACAGTTATCTAACTTGATTCAGAAGTCAAGGCCTCGTCGATTGGTGCTCGTTTATTTCAACATGTCTTTTATTTATGCTGAAAATTTCATGGCAATCAGATGATAAACAGAGCAGTTGTTCAAGAAAATACTAGATGCATCCAACAATATCTGGAATCGATAACAAATGTAATCCGCAAAAGGAAACCAAACAGAGACAACAGGAAGTGGCAACGAGGGGGAGTGTGTGTGTGTGTGTGTGTGTGTGTGTGTGTGTGTGGAAAAAATGTAGACAATACTCCCAGGATTGGTCCGAGGACTTTTGGCACAGTTGAAGCTTGTTGAAGTGAAATGGAGCGCGTGAAGTTTAAGTGGCGACCATTGTCCAACGAAAATTTGGCGTAATTGGAGCAATGCTTGAGGAGGACACGGTCCCAAATGCGAATTGGGCGGCCCAAGGTCAGGTCAGAGAAAACAAAAAGATACCAAAAATAAAAGTAAAACTAACCGAAATTGTTCAAACAAATCAACTAAAAACAAAGAAACGCTGCACAATAAAAGCATTGACTGTGTGCGAGTGTGTCCTTGAACATTTGCCATCGTGGTGCCAAATGCATGGGCGTAGTTGGAGCGAGAGGGAGCCAGGCAAGGGGCCGTAGCAGCAGCAGAGGCAGCAGCAAAGCTTAACACACACTTCAAGCGCGAAGCGAGCCACAGTCACGTACATTTTATAAACTTGATGGCACGTCAGGCCCTTTTGTCCATAGTATCTTGCTAGTGGGTAGCTCGTTCTCGCTCTCGCCTGAGCGCTGGCGCTGGCAGCTCGCCTGCTTGCGCTCGTCAATGCTGTGCTGGCAATTCGCCGCAAAGCTTGCGCTTTCGCCGCACATCCCATTTGGCCGTCGCCGTCGCCGTCGCCGCTGTGGCCGTTATTCAAAAGGAGCGCCCAACGCTGTCGAAACGCCAGAACAATTCGTGCCGCGTGCGCGTTCGGTTCGTTTTCCTTAAATAGTGGCTTTTCCTGTTGCTGTTGTCTGTTGCTGCTGCTTTTTGAGAGTGTTTTTGATTTCTTCGTGCTTCGCTGGTGTTGTGTGTTGTATTTTTTTTATTTTGTTCGTGGCGCCAGTTCGCCTGTGTGTGTGTGTGCCTGTGTGTGTGTGTGTGTGTGTTTTTGCGAAAGTAAACAACAAGCCGCACTGGCGCCGGCAAAATAGAAAATAACTAGTTAAATGTCATAGCTTACCAACACTGGCAAAATCAAAAAAATAAACACGCAGAGCAGCAGCAACGCAGCAGAACTCGATTCCGAAATTCTTTCATTGTAATTCGGCCGTTTATCAAATTTGTGTTTGTTTTTGTGTTTGTTACGCTTGTCTTGTTTTTTTTTTTTTTTGTTTTTTGCAGTGTAAAACTGAAACTCTGAAAGGCAGCCCCGAAATACCGCAAAAAACCAACAAAAAGCAACAAAAAAAAAACTAAAAAAGAAAACTCTGCTAAAAATGCCGCGTGAGCCGCTACAAAGACGCAACGTGGTCCGCCTCAGCCGGATGTGGATGCTACCGTTGCTGGGCCTGTGCCTGGCCAGCTTCGGCCTGCGCTGCGATGCGCGTGCGGTAAGTGGCCTTTGCTTCCTTCTACCCTCCTTAAGCGTACACGCTCCCTCAGACGCCTCGAGCTATTCAGTGGCTGTGGCATTGCCTGCCTACTGCATGCCACTCACCACATGCCGCACGGCACATACCAGACAGAGTTTGGCCACATTGAGCGCAGGATTTGCTAGCCGCAATCCTTAAACGCAGCCAACGCTTGACTCGCAATCGCGATTACTGTGTTCGCCTCGTGCTACTCAAAGAAAGGGAAACGTCGTTTAAGGATGTCGCACAAAGCGGAATTGATAGATTAAGTGCTCTCTCGCGAGTGCAACCAATAGTAACAGTCACTTATCGAGTTGCTCAACACTTACATATTTGTTTAGTGTAGCCTAAGAAATTGGGAAGTGAGTGTGTTAAATATTTGTCAAATATTTGTCCAAAATATTTACAAACATTCAGCACAGCACAATTGGCTATTGAAAGTGCTTAGAAATAAGAAGCTTAAAAGAAAGTTAAAGTGATTTTTATCAAGTCAAAACTTAGTTAAAGTTGTGAAGAATTTTCTGTGCTTCAAATAAATTATGTTAAGCGTTGCCTAACGCATTTAATACTTATTAAATCTGAATAAATGTTAATATTAGAAAATAAATGCTAACGTTAATATTATTCGAAATATTACTATAAGATATTTATGAATCTATCAAAAAATAAGTTCCTTTTTCTTGTTGATAGCGCATTCTTAACATGTTTGTATATATTTAACATGCATGTTAAACAACACATTTTTAACAGAATGCGTCACAAAATCTGATAAAGAAAAGAGCCTTGCAAAATCTATTTGATTTGATAGCTGCTTCGTTTAGATAAATACTTTTTTAGACAAACTATGAAGACTTTTTAAATATGGAGAGGACGGCAAAAAAAAAGTGTGGCAAAGTGCCAAATTGATGCACCAAGCCATACAGCGGGATGTTCGTATATGGATGCATGGGTACATATATCAAATAGAGCTTAATTTTAGCAAAGTAATAGAGTAAATGTATTCTTTTTAAAGGTCCTTGGACTGAACAAATATAAAATAATGTAGAACAGTAGTTTTATGCGTGTTAATCAACACTGGCAAAGCTGTCCGCAAATTCTTATTCGGCACAATTTGCCCATTTCGAATGCAATTCATCAAAAAATAATATACATCTGGCAATTTAACAACAGTTATACGTAGATTAACTGGCCCGCAAATTGAGCGATTTAGCCGATACTTACCAAAATTGTTGGCCCTGCCCGCACGAGGCAGGCGCCAATGTCGAGCGACGGGCGTCGGGCGTCGTCGAGTCGCCGGCGGGAGGGTCGGCCTTTGATTCTGGCAGGACTTCAAAATTCGAATTGCCCAATTTATATGCGCAAAGTTGAGACTTTTGTGTGTGTCGCGGGCGCCAACGACTGTGTGTTTGTGTTTTTTGGGAGTAAATCAAAAACGTGAACTCTTGGCTAGCCAAGTCAAAAGTTATTTTTATACACGGAATTCATTCAGAATGGGAAGGCTATTCCGGTTTTGTGTAAATGACGAAGGCGACAACTTTAAGCCCAAAACGTATAAAGTAATTATTAGATTCCTGGAGAAGCCTAGTCGATCTAGACAATCCCATCGGTCTGTCTTTTAACATGCATGAACTAATCGATCTCAGAGATTATGGAGAAGCAAAACTTCGATAACTTAACCATCTATGTAATCGATAAGAATTGAGATGAACCAACTCTCTTTGAGCATATCTTGGAGCTGAAAATACTTAAGTTAGCATATATGCTCGCGTATGATATACTAAGATTCAAATCTCACACGCTTCTTACTAAAATTGTAGAAGAAAAGAAAAGAACTTTGATGTCATACTTATGCTGTGCATATTTGCTAATGATCGGACTATAAGCTCCGAAGCTAAAGTCCAATTCCACCATGCTCAACATTTGCTACACAAACTTCACATTCTGCGATTCCATTAACAAGTGTCAGTTGTTTTTGCAAATCTGAGAAATGTGTTTTTCTTATGGGAAAGCGTACAGGCAACATACTTCACATTCGCAAGAAATGTTCATAGTGGAATTAGGTTATCAAGAAAGAGTGCACTTCCCATTGGCGCTTTAAAAAGAAGAAGCACATAGTTTGTTTGTATGTGTGCGTGTGTTTGATAGAAAGCCGGAGCTCGGCGCAGGGCTTAGGGTATCTTCTAGTCAGGCAATACAGCGCAATCTTGATTGTTTTTTGGGCAACTGCCGGCTAGAGGGTGAATTCTGTTAAGGGGGGAGGAAGGGAGGTGAGAGAGGGGGCGGCAAGCAGCGTCATCGTCGCCATTGCTGTCGCCTGCCAGGAATTCGAAGCTCCCCTCGCTGCAGCCCTTCCCATCCGTGGTCAGTCCAAGTGGCAGTCTCCTGCTCCAGACTGGCTGACTTGTTTTGGTTGCGGGGCTTATCCTTTCGACTGCTCGTTGCCTGACACGTCCCCCTTTCCCCTCCCTCGCTCTCGACGAAACCCCTCAGCCATCAGTTGGCAATGCCATTTTTCTTTCGTTTGTTTTCTTGCTGTTGTTGTTGTTTTTGCTGTTGGGGCTGCGAAATGAATAATTTCAGAGAATTTACTAGAAAATTTTATTCATATAAATCACAAATTAAATAAGTTTTTACGACGTTGTTCAGCGGTTGTGCAAGCCACTACAAAACTTATTTGTGTTCTTGTTCTGGTGCCGTTAATACCCTGTAAACAACAAATGAGCCAAAGAAAGGGTATGCACAGGTCGTTGCGAGTGTTGGTAACACAGCGAAAGCTGTCTGCAAGGCTTCCAGATGTTCGATTCTTATTAAGAAATGTTTCGCTTCAAGAGATCACATTTGCGGGCACAGTTGGGAACTAGCTTGTATCTCAGCTCTGATCGGAAAAACTCCCAGAGCTTGATACACGTTTATTTGAGCATATTTTTTAGATATACCAAAAGTTTCACAGATATCCGCTGAGAAATACTCGAGTTATTCCGATTCGAAAACAAATACAAATTTCTGTCTCTGACCGGTTCGATCTTCCGACAAGCACATGCCCGAGTGCTTTGCTTTATAGACTTTACTTACAGGGTATTCGCTAGTCGACCCAGGCTGCTTGACGTTGTGCGACTTGTTCGTTTGTTGTTTTTGTTGTTGTTGATTCGTCTGAAGTATTTCGGAGGGTTAACTTGCGGTGCCATTTTCTATGTAGTCATTCCCTCCGCAACCTGACAACCCCTCCGCCCCCCCCCCCCCCTACCGTCGCGCACCCTGCTCGCTTGTCTAGCCTTTTGCGTTGCCCTTTGCCCTTTTTTTTTATGGTCGTGTAATTTTTTGTTGGGCTTTTTATTTATGCTTATTATCGTGATTGCTTTTACCCATAACCCAGAGAGCCTTAGCCATGGTCGCCGCACAAGCTGCCCTTTGGAGAGCATTACGCACTCACACACACACACACACACACACACACACACACACACACACACACACACACACACAGACAGAGATACTTGGTTGCAAGTGTCTCCTGTTTTGGTGGTCATTTTGCCCGTTTGTAGCTCGGTTTCGAGTCTAGCCTTTTTGCCACAAAATGTTGCTGCGACAAAATGTTGCCGGCCAGCGTTTTGGGGGCATGCGGCTTGCCTAGTTGCAGCTGCATTAATAATGCAACATTAGCATAGAGCAGAAAAGCCAAATGCGGCAAAAACATTTGCCACGCTCAGCTCAGCGCGCAGCGTGCCCCAAATTCACATTGCCACACGCTGGGGCTGCTGGCCGGCAATTTACGGGGCAGCTGCCTGCCTGCCGCAACAACATGCAATTAATCATAGCGACAGTCAATGCCAAAGCTGGCAAGGCCCCCTCGAACAGGACATCAAATAAAAATAGAAAATCGCAAATGGAAAATGGAAAATAGAAAATAGAAAATGGCAAATGGTGAATGGAAATTTGGCAAAAGCTGCGCACATCGTCCCTGACCTTGCAACTATTTCGCACATCAAAACATAATTTATGATGGCCAAAGAAAAAAAAAACGAAGAAAAGGAAGCAGCAGCAGCAGCAGCAGCATATATAAATCGGGGCAATCAAATTGAGAGCCCGCCCCCGTGTTTTTTTTTTTTTTTTTTGTTCAGTTCTTCTTCTTTTCACCTAGTGCTGGCGCGCAGTCGCCCACATAATTATCGCCCTGATTTATGGCAGCATTTTTGCAGCCAATTACTTGGCGTCCAGCGCGAAGGCGAAAGCAAAAAACGAGAAGCGAAAGCGGAAACGGAAACGGAAATCACATAGCATGTGCTGCATGTGGCACACACACACACACACACACACACACGCCGGAGCACCTGATTGAGGCCATCAACGGGTTGCGTGCCATGCAAATTACCTTCGCACTTACCTGCAGCCGCAGTCGCCGTCGCAGCCGCAGTCGCCGTCGCAGCCGCAGCCCGAGAATCGAAGGAACTCGGCAACTCTATTTAATATGCAAATTTACTTGAGCCGGCTTATTGCCCATCTTGGATTACCTTGAAAATAGTTAATGCTCGACTCAGAACACGTTGTTCGACCACATTTTAAATCTTATTCACTTTGGAGCTCTTCTATCTATCTATGAGATGATTATGAAGCCTCATAAAACGTATAGATTCTTGATTCTGCTGTTTCCATTTTGTCCATCTTTTTAGAAGATATACTACCCGACCTCACAAAGCATAAAGATTCATGATTCTGTCAAGGAACTTAGTCGACATTCATTTTGAAGTAAATTCTGCCTAAGATTCTTGCTGCTAAATAACTAGCCGGATCCGTACGTTTCACCTCATTGATCTCGTACACTACAGAAGCTAGAGTGCTGAAATTTTTACTATATATTCTTTGGTAATCATACTCAAAATCAGTTTATTATTTGTTCAATATCTCTCACTATTTGCGAAATATCGCCAAAAATCGATTTTGAGACCAGGCTTTCGGAGCTTTGCACACAGATAAGGTATATA